AAAAAAAAAAAAAAAAAAAAAAAAAAAAAAAAAAAAAAAAAAAAAAAAAAAAAAACATTTATTCTCCCATCAATGAAGCTTCTACAGTTTCTTGGGTTTCTTTCCATTTGAAGCAGGACACGACCATTTTCAAATGACAACAACAAAATTCCCACTCCATTGTTTGATATTCTCCAATCATTATTCAACAAACAATTTTATAATGAATTGAGATCAGATTCTTGTGTGATTAAAAGATTCTTTGTTGACACAACTTTTGTTGAACCCATAATAAAGACAAGATTGTTAGATTTTAAAGATGCGTTTTTGTTGAACCAAAACAAAGAAGCAAACCCTAAAACATTTTGGATCAAGATGTGGGGAAGCTAAAGGTAATTGTTATTGTAATTGTAATTGGTTGGGCAATGTTGACTTTGGTTTGAACCCTGTGTTTGGTTTTGGTTAAGAGATTAAAATGTTCAAACCCTTTTTTGTGGCCCACCAATCATAATCACCATGAGTTGATAAAGAGTGCACATAAAATGTCAAAAAAGCTCTAGAAGGAGGCCGAGAGGGATGATTCTGAGTGTCAAGAGTGTGCAACAGCTTTCAAACCTCACATGTCTTCATAATTTTCTATCCCTTTTTTCACACAACAACCCACCGTAAACTTGAAGTAATTAGTAACAATAAATTATACCTTTTTCACGAAACAAAAAACAGAGAGATTCGTGATTCCTAACCGACCTAGACGAGTATCGATTCTTGGACATTGTTGACATTGATTGGGTTTGTCTTTTTTAAGTCTAAATTATGTACAACTGAATATCTATGGCTTGTTAGATGAACACGACTCTCCAAAATGGTATGATATTGTCCACTTTAAGCATAAGCTCTCATGGCTTTGCTTTGAGCTTCCCAAAAATGCCTCATATCAATGGAGATAGTATTCCTTGATTATAAACCTAGTACCATTCTTAAATTAGCGGAGCTTAATATTTGTTCATATTTAAAGTTCTCATTTCTCTCTCTGCAAGCACCGAGAAAACACCCTATCTTATTCTTTGGCTGGAAGCCAAGCTTGTAAACTAATGATTGAACAATGAGCTTAATTATCGGAGACACCGAAAGATTTGCCTTGCTTTTTTTTTTTTGTTCATACACTTATATCACTCAGAGATTTCTTCTTCTTTATAACTTTCATTACTTTACAACATTAACTAAATGATTTCACGACACATGACATGAGTAATGCCAATTTTATGGGTTTAAAACTTAATTAATATGTTTAATCCCCAAAACACTCAATATATAAAATATCGTTATTCAATTTATAACCACTAAAATCTTGTACCACTTTAATATTTGTTAAATTAAATACAATAATGAACTATAAACATTATGATGGGCCATACATAATTCAATAATTTTATTTCTATTTTATTTATTTATAGTAAATAAGTTGTTTATCACTGAAAATTTAAATTCTCTTTAATATACATTCACGAGGTTAGAATTGTCAACCACGTTTTTCAGGGCTTTCAAATAATTTCTACGACAAATAAAACAATAGTTTAAAAAAATAATAATTAAAAAGTGGTTGTCGGTTTGAAATTGATCGTCGGTGTTTGGCATCGGAGGAAGGAATAAATGTGTTTTTTTCGAAAGAGATAATCTGATAATAATAAAAATAAATAAATAAAATAAAAAGAGGAAGAATTTACATGATTCCCACTAGGGTTTTTGAAAATTTGCAGACACAAAAAAACGTACGAATACAAATCATCGGAGTTTCGAGATCAGCGCTTTTCACGGCGCCGCCGGAGCCAATCTCAGATGCAAATCCAAACCAATTCCCTCATCGAAACCCGACCCGTTTTCCCCTTTGGTGAATCTCTTCAACGACAGCCCCTCGTCGTGGATTTGTGATCCCATCGCGAATGCCATGGAATTCCCCACTCCGCGGCCGTAGGACGACACCATCGCGGCTTTCCCTCCACCGCCCGAGGCCGGAAAGACACACCCATGTGAGGAAACCTGGATGGGCGGTGGCGTGCGGGGCATGTAGACCCAGGAGGAGGTTTCGGCTGCGGAGGCAGGGTTGGAGAGTAGGAAGTGGGGAGGGGCGGTGGCGAGAAGGTGAGGTGGAGGAGCAAAGGCGGAGATAATTGGGTTTCTAACGTAGGCAACGGCGGCGTTGCGAGTGGCTTGTAATTGGGCACGTTTAAGTTGCTGCCTTTCTTTCTTGTGGGCGTTTTGGTGGCCACCGAGAGCCTGTGAGTTGGCGAACTCGCGGCAACAGTATTGGCACTCGTATTTGCGGTCGGCGGAAGGGGTGAATACTCCAGATTCGGATGACCCAGTTGGGGTCTTGGCAGTTGTAGAGTCATCATCTTCCAATTCCTCGCGCACATCAAAGCCAAACAGCTTTAATTTTAAGCGGGTGGTTGTGGGAGTGGTGTGGTTTGGTTTGGATTGGAAGTCCAATTCCAAGCCAGCCATTTTTGGCAAGAAACAGAGCTCTAGACAGAGAGAGAGAGAGAGAAAAAGAAGGGGTTATTATAATGTGTAAGGACTTGGAATGCATGGAGGGTTCATTTATAAAGGACAGAAATGGAGGGGTAACTTGGAATTGATGAGTAGAAGGCACAGAAAAGCTAAGATTGGTGCAAATTTTATGATATAAAAAGCAAGAAAGAAAGTAAAACACATGGGAGTTGCAAGGACAGCACTTTGTCTCATACATAACATCGCCGACTCTCTCACCTCTTTCCTTTCTCTCTTTCTCATCTAATCTAACCTTTCAATACCCTTTTCACAACACCAACAAAACATTCTCACATTCATCATATTTTCACATTTTCTATCTTCTCTCATACTTCAACAAGGTGGAGCCCGCAAATCCGATGTGAGATAACATTTCCGTTAGAGAGAGAAATGTGAGACTATAGACGATACGTAATAGGCTAAAGCGGATAACATCTACTAGCAATCAGATTAAACTATTACAAATGATATCAAAGTGCCAACGAGAACGTTGGGCCTAACAATGAGTTTGAGCTATTATAAATGGTATCAGAGCTAGACACTAGGCCCCCAATGGGATGGATTGTGAGATTCCACCTCGGTTGGAGATGAGAACAAAACATTCATTATAAAGGTATGGAAACCTCTCCCTAATCGTATCTATTAGCAAATATTGTCCACTTTTACCCGTTACATATTGTCGTCAGTCTCATGGTTTTAAATCTCCTCACTCCTTTCTCATTCTCTATGGAGATGCTCCACCCCATTTGATGCAAGTCTGTAACAGCCCAAGCTCACCGCTATCTTATATTGTCCTCACGATTTTAAAACGTATCTATTAGGGAGAGGTTTCCACACCTTTATAAAAAAATGTTTTGTTCCCCTCCCCAATCAACCGATCTCACAAAAAAAAAAAAAAAAAATAGGAATGAGCATGGAGAAGTCTTCCTCGTCCACTCTATTTGTGAGATTTGATTAAACTATGAGAGGCAAACTAAAACCTCCGAATCTATATAGACTAATTATTATTCAAAGACTCGTATAAACAAATTAAAGTAATCTTAAAATGTCGTCGTATTATAGCAATGTATACATGGAATGTGTGTGGCATTGGGAAGGATCCAAGAATGCATGTGAAAGTTAGGATTAAAAATTTTATAAATATGTATGATTGAATGATTTGTTTAATTAAATAATTTAATTAATTAATTAGTTCCACTGTAGGCATCTAAGAGCCACCTTCATTAATATTTCCCCACTTTTATTATGCAGTGATTATTTAAATTAAGCGAAGCATATAGTCCAATACAACACTAATTATTCAGTTTCATGTCCACAACTTATATTAATTAATTAATTAATACATTAATTAATTAAAGCACCCAATTAGTCAACCTAACCCATCACCCATCACTCAAAAAGACATCCAACCCCTTGTTTGCTTCCTCTTATGTATGTTCCATTTTGGTAATTTCAATTAATTATTTCTGTACTGCACTTACTTTCCACATTACTTGTTTTATAAGACATTATAATTATATTATGACGAATATATATATATATATAACATATGATTTCTTACCAAATCCTCCCTATATTATGCTATTTATAATTAAATAAATGTTCCTCACCAACCTTCTTTGTAGAGGCCTGGGTGAGATATTGTTCGGTTCTAGTATATTGCGGTCAGTTTCACGATTTTAAAATATGTCTAGTAGGGAAATGTTTCCACATTGTTATAAGGAATGTTTCGTTTCTCTTTTCAACCAATGTGGGATCTCACAATCCACCCTCCCTAGAGGCCCAACGTCCTTACTGATACACTGCTCAATGTCTAGCTCTAATACCATTTGTAATGGTCTAGTTCCACCACTAATAAATATTGTTCGCTTTGATTCGTTATACTACACTCTTACAAGAAATATTTTGTTTCTCTCTCTAACTGATGTAGAATATCACAAATATAGTCCACTAAACGATAAAACACGTTCAACTAATTTATTTGATTAGTTGCACTCATCTTCTTAATGTTAGAGGTTCAAATCTATCGCACTCCTAACTTGTTGTACTGAAAAAAAGATTCTAAACTATCCTATCATACTGATAGACTGCACGGTTCAAGATAGTCACATGATGATGGTCCCGTAGAGTAGTTTTTCTTTGTTATGAGCTAATATCGAGACAAGACGGGAACAAGGGTTTGTTTGTGTGTTGTGAGGGTATATGTTTTTGAATGAATTATCGTAGATAGGATGTTGGCGTGATTGACGTTAAAACCTATAATTAATGTTGAAAGGCCTAAATGCTTTTGTTTACTTTAAGAGGACACAGATCTCTCCGAATCTTACTAACTACCATACATTGATTTGTGTTTGGAAGAGAGAGGGATGATTTGGTTACTTCAAAACCTCTTCCAAACTCCTCATCGTCATTACACTTCAACCTATGACCCACTTTTGTCCCCTTTTCTGTGCCAAAATTTCCCATCAAACCAACACACATACACTTGTCTCCGCTCAAATTCTACCTCCATTGATTCACGGGAACAACAACAACTACTACGAGAACTCTGACATTGTGAATCACTCTCGACTTGAGTCAAAAAAAGCTACACGAAACCCTTCGGTTAACAAAGAACATCAGGATATTCAAGAGAATCCCTGTTGAAGGCATAGTCGGGTATTTTCTTAAGACAACCTTAATCATCATACTTTTCTTTTCTTTTGGTTTGCTTTGTTGTGATTAAGATGCCATTATTATCACTTAAGATCTCCCAAATCACAAGCATGACCCACCATGTTGTGGTTATCAATGAAATTTATCCAATCAATCAATATAATTTCAACTAAAACAATAATAAATCATATTTTAGGTTCATAGATTAATCAAAATCACACCCCATTAACTTGCTAATCATCTTTACCTGGTTCCCTTTTGAAAACCATGGCTTTTGGAAGGGTCTAAAAAGGACCATTTTTGTGGATATGTTCAAAAGCAAAGAGTAGCCAATATCCAAAGGATGTGGGTGACTCATTTCAGCCCCTCCATGCCTGCCAACTCGCACTCTTTCTTCTTTTGTTATTAATTTTAAAAGCTTCAGTGGACTTTAGCCTCTAACCTCTATGTAATGTGCTATATATTGTTTAATAATCCAACACCAATCTAATTTCAACCAATCTTAATAACTTAAAAGTGCTCTCTAATCCTACACTTCTTTACATGCCCATTGCTGCACAGATTCCTAGAAAGACTTCTAATGTGCTTTTGTTGAAACCAAGATATGTTAACTTATATGGAACGTACCTCAACAAGTTCGATCCTTTTATAGAAATCTCGACTCATATCACATGCTCTCTTCTGGTAAGATTCTAATAACAGTTGTCCATGAATCAATCTCAAGAGATTTGGGCGTTAGTAATCTCAAGATCATTATAAATTCGAATCAATTTCACTGCAAGAACTCACATTGATTGGAGGGGGAATGAAACATTTTTTATAAGGGCGTGAAAAACTCTCCCAAACAGACACTGTTTTCAAAACCGTGAGGTATGTAATAACGAGGTACTCAATCAAATATCATTCTAAACCATATCAGCAACTGTCAGTCAAAGACCTTTAAATAGTGAGTATCCTCAAGTCCTAAGTACACGAGAAATGATAACAACTCAACCAGGGTTTGCTCAGATTCAGACAATTTTCCAGCTCCAATTATTGGAACAACTCAACTGTTGCACGTGTGTCCCTGTTGATAAACACATCTTCAACCTACATGATTGTCTGATAATTCTGTTTAGGGTACCCTACCAAGTCCTACAAATATAAGACCCACCAAAAGTGGCCTATTTTGGTATGATAATTGCAAGATATGGACAGCTAAATTTTGTACTTTTGCTGTTAAACCCAATCACTCTAAAACTAATCAACTTAGCAGGAGAATCTCCCAACAGCAACACAAAATATTAAAGAGAAGTCAAGCAAGCAACAACCAGTGGATAACATGCTCGGATTCAAATGAATGAAAATTATACACTCGAGTTTTCTTCACAAACCGAATAAACGAATTTATTAACTCTAAGGAAACCTATCTATATCCCCACCAGAAAAATTCTAACAACTGAGCAAGTCACTCAATATAATCATAAACACAATGGCATCATACACATTTCTTATATTATAGCTCTGCTTCGAAAACCCATATCGTAGATATAGTAAACAGTATTATCAGAAAACTCACAAGAAATGAAGCAGCTTGATGGGCGCAACCTTGCACGCCGAGACTTCCCAGCGAGAAGCAGGCATCGAATCTCAACCAAGCTTTTTGTCTGACCCTTTGAGGTTAAGATTGAACCACTTCTTCTTGGTAGGTCTGTCTTTTCCATCTGAGCCACCATCTTCTCCAGGAGTGCAAACGTTTGAATCATCAACTTTTCCATTACTTAAGCCACTGACATTATCGCTATGGTTTGCTGGCCTGGAAACGGTGAAAGATGAGTGGATATTATCTCTCATTTTTAGAAGCTCATCGACCTGCAATGGAGGAAATTACAATAAAAATGTGTCGTGCGAATAAAAAATAAGTTGCATCAGTTCTATTCGAAATTCGAAAGAAGAAAGACGACTACGGAGCATCAGATTGAGTATTGCATACAAATTGTTTTTCCCGGCTGTATCGATTTGTGACTTCTTGAAAGCGTGCAAGTGCCTACAAAGTAAGAAGTTAACTTTCAGACAAACATATCAGAAAAAATTAATAGCCATATATCTACAGAGCCAATACCTTCCTATATTCACTTTCGAATTGGCGTAAATCATTTCTCTTTCTTAAAATTTGAGCTTCGATTTCTTTAAGCTTCTCTGTTGTCTCTTCATATGATTTTGCACAAATCGCCTCGATTGTGTATGTTGCAGGCTTGAAGAAGTTATCACCTGAACAATCATGCAGATGACCAAAGAATATTATGGCGAATACGAGGTTAGATGGTAAGTTCAAAGAAAAGATCAGCTTATACCATAGACAGCGAATATATGAGTTCCAGCTTTTAGTTCTGAAACCTCACAAGGCTGAAGGCCTTCCAATCTCTTGAAAAAAGCAGCCTCCGGATCCTTGGTCATTGCCACCTACACTACCACGCATATCAATCAACCATCACAAATGTAACAACTCAAGCCCACCGCTAGCAAATATTGTCCTCTTTGGGCTTTCCCTTTCAAGCTTTCTCCCAATGTTTCTAAAACGTGTCTGCTAGGGAGAAGTTTCCACACCCTTATAAAGAATGTTTCGTTCCCCTCTCCAACCAATGTGGGATCTCACAATACTTCTAAACTCTTGACAGAACATCCAAACAGACCACATTATCCAATTATGAAATAAATTTAACATACCGCATTCATAGTTGAATCCATTCTGTATACTTGAAAATGTAGAAAATACATCCCCACAGATGTAAACTTGCCAGTTTTCTCACTATCCTCCTGTTCATGAAGACGCACAACATTCGTTGCAAACAGACTAGTCAATCCTACAAGTATATAAATCGATTACAACTGGAATTAAAAGCCGAAAAACTGATGCATGTCCAAAGTGGCTTTTAGAATAGAGTCAATACCATTTATGCAAACTATACTTTACAGCAGTAGTTCATAAAGTAAAAACACACTGTAACCAGGAAACAAGAAAAAACCGACCAGCCATCTCCAAAAAAAATGTGCAACTTGATTTTAAAATGTCACCATGATCAGTCGGTCGGTTTATTAAGAGTTGGGGAAAAGACCACATTTACTAAACCAAAACCAAATAGGTGGGGGCATCAGTTTTCACCTCCACGCCCACCAATCCGACCAATTTTCACCCATACCAGATGTTCTTACCACTTTTTAGGAAGCTTTGTAACTCACAGCGTATATAGGGAATATACAAAAGCTGAAATGTTATAAGCAACAAAGAACTACAGAATATTAAAGAACGAAAAATTTCCCATGACATCCAATTTCTGCCTTGATGCTTCCCTTCGACCATTGTTAATTCCTCCCCGTTTAGTATAGTTAACTAATTCCTCAATTTCTCACAACTCCCTTGTACATCTTTCAGAAAATACATATGAAACAATAAATAAATAAAACGATGAGAACCAATGCCTGAGACACGAGAGCATCAGGGATATTAATGCACTTCACCTGTAAGGCTAAACCATAACCACCATTGGCATCTTGCTCAAAATATAGCAGCTGAAAATTAAAGATTGCACATGTTAGAACTACGCCTAAAAAGAGCGCTTCATCGCATATAATCCACAAAAGAGAGATCATAGGTTCGAATTTCATGAAAGTGGCAGCAACCAGATATGCATGTCTCCCCATACACCCAAAAAAAAAAAAAACCAATAATTCAATAATTGTGCGTGTGTGTATATGTATGTATGTATGTACGTATGCATGCATGAAGAACAGACCTTAAGTTTGCTTTGTGCAGTGGAAGTAACTCTGACAACAATGCCTGCAGAAGCCTGCTGATCATTGATTGTTACACCAAAGAAGTGAGCACACTGTTTTTCTACCTGCAGTGGAGCATTGCATAAGTGAAGGGAATAATTTAAGGGAAAGAGCAAGCATTATCAGTATAAGAACTACATAAGCACCTTCCCGCTGACTGATGTTCCGAGAGGAAGAGGTTTGATGGTCACCGTTCCATTTAGAGCTTCTTCAAGAACGCTCGCTGAGATTGTAGTCTTAATGGGGACACCCAACTTACTATAATCAGACAAAGTTAGAGCTTAGAGAGTTGCAGACAAGAGGAACCTCAAATACCACAAAAAAATTATATGTCACCTGAACAGAGCTGCAAACATGGTATTAACGGTCCCCAAATTGGATAAGTCAATTTCCATGTCCATACCATCCACATCAAGAGCCTGGAAAGATTATTTTAGAAATACATGAAGGAGCAACATTTTCTGTAGGATAATGAGTTTCATAGCGTCTGGTGAAAGATATTCATATCCTAATAGAATGTCCATGTTAAAAAGAATAAAAGTAGGTAAGCAAGACAGAAAAAAACCTCAAACCCTGCACTGTCATACTGCCTTCTCTTCTCTGGATCAGATAAAATGTTGTAAGAATAAGCAACCTCCTTGAACAGTTCTGAAGCCTCAGGATTCCCTACATTTTTATCAGGATGATATCTGTCCGTCATGTGAATTGAAAATCAGAACACAAACAACAAATCGTCTATAAACAATACTTCATGATGTTAGTATACTACAAAATCTGGATAGATCATAGATTTTAGTTATTAGAAAATTCCTTTATGGCGTCTTCAGCCCCACGCTAACATCCTAGCTCAAGAACAAAAAGAAAATGGGAACCAGGTCGATAGCCAAAAGGCAGAAATTCTACTAATCCTGAATACGTCTTCCCACCGGGGCGTGGCGATTGGGGCTGGATTAGCCTAAATTTGAGCTTCACTTATCATACTACAAATGGACAGAGTTGTAAAACAACCGAAAATGTTTCCGAAGAACATGAATTTGATAAAACTTACTTGAGCGCGAGTTTCCTATAAGCCGTCTTAATCTCCTGATCTGTAGAATCTCTGGACACAGACAATACATCATATGGGTCTCGTCGAAGAGCCGGGGTTGAAGGTCCTTCCGTCTTTGAACTCGTCCCCATCTAACCCCCTCGCTCTCAATTGCCAACTACCAAATGCTACGATGAATCAACCCACTTCCAAAATCATATGATATCCACGCCCAAAACCACAACCGCAAGGAATTCCACCTCTTCTGTTCGAGACAAAATTCCCACGATTCCAAAGCCTAACTGGATCTCTCTTCCTTCGAATTAAATCGACAAAAAAGGAAGGATAAACAGTGAAGAAAAACAGGAATTAAGAAAACGGAGAGGTTTTAAAATCTTGACCCTCTTCTTAAACTCTGTTTTCTTTCCTTCGTCGCGGCTTCTTCTTTTTCGAACTTTTTCGTCGACCCTTCTTCAAAAATGTTTGAAATTTCAGCTCAAATTTTATAAATTTTAGTTTTTTTTTTTTTTTTTTTTTTTTTTTTTTTTTTTTTTTTTTTTTTTTTTTTTT